GTATCACCATATGGTTTCCAGGGGGTAAAAACAACAGATTGTTCCAATCTTAACAAAAAGGAGTGGGCGTAAGTACAAAGAATTGTTTAAAAAATAATTTTAAAGGTGGGTTTATTATAAAACAAAATTTTGAACCAAACAACAAGGATAGAAAAAATTTGATTTATGTTTACTAAAAAACAAAAAAATTTACAAATTTCTTGAAAAAATAAATGCGGCCACTTGAGAAGGGTTTAATCTTAAGACACTTTTTAGTTAAACAAAAACCCAGCCCCATTATAAAGGGGAGTCATTACCGAAACTTAAGTTTTTTTTAATACAATTTCCAACTTGTTCCGATGTTATGTGTTCCTCTAAATAACAGCACAGATACACACTGCATAACAAATCAAGGGCCATAACCTTATTAATGGTTTCCATAAAGTTTCATTGAATTCCAGCCAGTACTGAAGCATCTGACCAGAACAAGGCAAACGATATGCCCATCTCCTTCTTAGTGTTGATGGTTCCCATAAAGTTTCGTTGAATTCCTGCCAGTAGTTGCAGAGAACTAGCGTTGAAATGAATTCGGACAGACAGATGGAAAGCACCTATATAAAAGAACCAAAAAAAAGCAATCTAACCATATAGTGAAAGTACCTTAACATTTTTTTCAATAGATGAATTGTAATTCTATCGTAATATCAAAAACAATATACCAATATACTTTACAAAAAGGCTAGTGTGAATCCATTTTTATGCCCTCAAGAGTTCTTCCCCTTTATTACTTGATATTTACATTTTCTGCTCAAACGATGGTTACTAAATTACAAATATGTTTAATTTACAAAGTGTTCTTGACATAAAGAATATTTCGCTTAATGATAACAAGATAATGCCATGACTTTGTTATACATCTCGGACAAGTTTAGAATCTGTTTAAATCACTAAATGAATTAACAAAACTGAATTTAATGTAATTGTTGCTTTTTTCAAGACATATTTATAATCCATACAGCCAAACAAAAATGAAGTAAGAAAATAAACAAAGCACAATACTAAAAAAATCATTGAGTACAGAGTACCGGTTTTTGTGCACTGCACTTCATTTCAAGGAGATCTATCATCCTATGAAGTTTCATGTCCACAGCTTTTATAGTTTAGGAGAAATGGCTCGGACAAAACTGAAATATGAACATTAGCAAAGGCAAATAACTCAAAAAATAAAACAGTGCAGAGTTCCAGTTATTGTGCAATGTACTCCTTCTCATTAAGATCTATCATCCTATAAGTTTTCAAGTCCATAGCTTTTATAGGTTAGGAGAAATGGCCCAAAAAAAATAAAGTATGAAAATAAACAAAGGGCAATAACTCAAAAAATAACAAGTGCAGAGTACCGGTTTTTAAACACTGCACTTTACCTCAATGAGATCTATCATCCTACCTTAGCTTTTTTGTTTAGGAGAAAATTTAATGGCCTGGACAAAAAAAGCATGAAAATTAACAAAGGGCAATAACTCAAAAATTAACTAGAAATGTGTCCATAGGACACGGATGCCCCCACACGCCACTGTTCTGTCAATCTTATGACTCTAGGTCAAATATTTTTTGGACTACATGTGCCACAAGTTGAAAACTAAAAATCAACAAAGGGCCATAATTCTGTTAAATTTGGTCGCAGCAAAAATTCCTTCCTTTACTGCCATCTACACATTAAGGTTGTTCATCCCTAGAAGTTTAAGCAAAATCTGCCATCCGGTTAAATAGGAGTTGCATTCACAAAATTTCTACATAGTATATAGTGAAAAAATCAACAAAGGGCCATAATTCTGTAAAATTTGGTCGCAGCAAAAATTCCTTCCTTTACTACTATCTACACCTTAAGGTTGTTCATCCCTGTAAGTTTAAGCAAAATCTGCCATCCGGTTTAAGAGGAGTTGCGTTCACAAAATTTCTACATAGTATATAGTGAAAAATCAACAAAGGCCATAATTCTGTTAAATTTGGTCGCAGCAAAAATTCCTTCCTTTACTACCATCTACATATTAAGGTTGTTCATCCCTGTAAGTTTAAGCAAAATCTGCCATCCGGTTTAAGAGGAGTTGCATTCACAAAATTTCTTCATAGTATCTAGCGAAAAAATCAACAAAGGACCATAATTATCTTAAATTTGGACTTAGCGAAAATTCCTTCCTTTACTGCCATCTACACATTAAGGTTGTTCATCCCTGTAAGTTTAAGCAAAATCAGCCATCAAGTTTAAGAGGAGTTGCGTTCACAAGATTTCGGGACGGACGGACTGACAAGTGCAACGCTATATGCTCCCACATTGTGGGGGCATAAAAAGTGCAGAGTAATTATTCTTATGCACTGCACTTCGAGTCATTGAAAGTAGCAGGCTGACGAATTTTGGAGTCAATCCGACTTATTCCCCGCACAAGTCTATGGGGACGCCGCCGCCGACAATAAAAGTAATACCTATATGTCGCCTTTTTCAAGGCGACACAAAGTAGTCATGCACTTTCATTAAATGAATTTGATACATTTAGAGAATTTATATCATTCATTTTATTATTAGTATATTTAAAATTGAATTAATATGTCCTATAGACTCGAGTTATATCAGCTGACGACCATTAATCTTGTAAGTGGCAATATAAACTGTATTTGAGTTGCGCCATGACAAAACTAACATAATGGGTTTTCGACCAGCAAGGATCCAGACCAGCCTGCGCATTTGTGCAGTCTGATCAGGATCCATGCTGTTTCGCTATCAGTTTCTCTACTTGTTATAGGGTTTGTAAGGGAACAGCATGGATCCTGATCAGACTGCGCGGATGCTGGTTTGGATCCATGCTGGTCGCAAACCTATTATGTTGGTTTTGTCATGGCGCCGCTCATTTCTATATTGATATGCTAGGAGACTGAATAAATACAAACGAAACCTTTGGAACAGTTATATAATTGTCTTAAATTTTTGATAATTTAAACCTTGACAGGCAATGTCAATTAAAGGCCTAGGTCATATCAGAATAACTGAAAACTGTTGGTTTTGGAATGTGTGTTCATTTGTACAGGTATGAATAAAATCTGTGAAAAGATTACACAAGTTATCACAAATATAACTTTTAGGAAATGTATAATTAAAATGCTAATAACAATAAATGACAGACACATTGCAATGAAAAAAGCTTACCTCTTAAAACTAAGTGCTCAGGTGAGCAAAAAAAAAAATAATCAAGTCTTGGCATCGTTGTTAGCATTTATTTTCTTTATTTTCTTTACAATTTAAAAGAAAAAATCTTTCAGTTTGCTTGTTTGTACATTTAGCACAAGTCTAACTGCTACATATAATAAATTATAATTTAGTTTCCTCCTTCATTATCTTACACTATTACAACTACAAATATATATGTATAAAACAATCATTTATAAGTACACTTACCCTGGTAAACAATAACTTCACGTTTTAAGTTTTTATTTCATAAACTAAATGATTAACCGTTGCATGATTTTATTCAAGAAAATGCATAGTATAAAAATAACAACATTTAACTTTTACGTCAGATACATCTTAAAAAATACCATATGAAATAAAACGAAATTTATAGTTCAGACTGATTTTACCTATGAAATACATTATGGTAAGAACATTCTAGTATTAAAGGTACATATGACAGTACTTTTGTAACAGAGGAACTGAAACAATTACCAGGTCTTCATTTTGCTTATAATAGAGATGTGTAGATCATCATGTGATAGTAATGCTGACATGGACATGCATCAGTTATCAAAGAAACAGTAAAATGTTGTTTTTTCCCCAAAAAAATTGGAGGAATAACACATTTTTTTAAAATACAAGACATCATGGCCTATTGTTATTTTCTTTATGCGTATAAAAATATAAGACAAAGAGGTCACTCTTGACATGCAGAACTGATTGTGAAGTCTTACATTAATAGGAATTGATGATGTTGAAGGAAGAGATTATTGGTCTACAAAAGACCACCTTTAATTGTTTGTCGGAAAAATAAAACAAAACCATTGTCTAAGATCAAAATTTGACAGGTTTACTATTTAATATAGGTATTTTTTATAGGACTATATTGACAAAAGGTCACTTGTGAGGTTCTCTCAGTCACTTAACATTTACAAATCGTTCAATACTTCAACTACACATACAAAATAAATAAAAAAAGAAATATATAAATAATATACATGCTGGCATAACTATAAAAAGAGCATTTCACTAACAAACCTAAGAGTATATGACTAAACAAACAAAACTGCTTCCAAAAAACAAGTAATACAGTAAAATCAGAAAAATTTGTAATGCAAAAAAAACCCCTTTAATCATGTTTTTAGCATTAAATTTTTAGAATTGCATGTGTGAACTGTAAGCTACATTTAACAATGTATCTCAGGTATTTCATTATTCTATCTTTTCTAATCATGGTAATTTATCTGTTTACTGTATATACTTGGCAATTTAAAGTAGACCCTCAGCTGCCCTTCTGTGCATTAATTGTCACAAGTGAGCATGTCCAATATTCCATTAGTTTAAGACAAGACTGGACAGTTAATGGCTTAAACAAACAATCTTAATTTCACAGTATATCAATACAAAACAAATATCACAGATCTATGAAAAAAAAATCCTGCAACTAGTTAATAAAATACTATCTTTCCTCAATGTTCAAAATGAGCACTTTCATTTTCAATGAAATCAACGACTTTCAAAAGTTACCAACAAGAGTATGAAAATGCAAGGGTATCACAATTTCTTTAAGTTTATATAACTTCCATTCTTTACAGACTGGACTTCAGGCTTTGACCTTCATGCTACAGTTACTGTTAGACCTTCATGAAGTTTTTTTTCATTATTCAAACAATAAATATATCTAAATTTTCAAAATAAACTAACACTGATACATGAGCAATATCATCTAACTAGAGTAGAAAAAATATATAAATAAAATCCCTTATATTTCAAAATTTAATGCAAAAAGGTTATGAAACAAATTCTCTAGACCATAATGCCATTTTAGCTCGACTTCATGATTCACTGTCCTCAATTCAAACCCCAGAATATAAAATTCATGTGCAAGCTCTTATATACTCAGATCACTCATTTAGCTGTAACTGCAGATGAATAAGCATCTGCATCACTCAGATCAGAAAAAGCATCTGCATGAAATAAGATCACAAAAGCTTTAACATAATCCTGATCAAATAGCTGACTATGTCTGATGCTGCAAACTTTGCTTCTTGCGAAAGATTTTGTTCATTGTCTGAACAGTATCTGTCAATAAATCATTAAATATTTTTTTCAGTTAGTTGCATTTTCACTGCCAATTCATCGTCATCATAATTAACCCACTCAGGCTCTTCTTCGCGCAATTTTTGCACCAAAATTGTGTCAACAAAATCCTTCTTTCACGAATACCTCATTTAGTTTTTTCCAATGATTTTTTGGCCCCATTTAAACCTAATATGTCAATAACTGCTTCCTGAACCACGAGTTTTAGCACATCTATAGTAGTCGGAGGGGAAGCACCTTTGTAAAATTTGTTAGTTTTTCATTTTGGTTTGTGCCCAAGCAACTGGAGAATAATATTCTTCCTCTTTATAAATGTTTCTAATAATATTCCAGGTAAGTCAAATAATAGTTTCTTGAACACACGTCTACTGTTACTTATCAAATTTTAGTCAATTTCTTCATGTGTATAAAAAGCTTCTGAAGGGTAGAGATCGGTTAATGGCTCGCCATATCATCTTTGTTCCCAGAATTCATCTAAGGCACTAGAAACTCCTCATGGGGCTCAGGATAAAACACCTCCTCAGCAAACTTCTTTAGCTCAGATACTGGCATGTTTATTGGATCTAAAATATTAAAGGCAATTTAAAGCATGGTCAAAAAAATGTAGGAAACAAGAGCTGTCAATAAAAAGTGACTTATGCCTACAAAAGGAAGCTTTGACAATTGTGTCAAAAAATTAAGTTGAAAATCAATTAACTATGCACAACTAGGCATGGTGACAAACAATCCTGCAAAGTTTAACTGAAATCCACCCAGCGGTTTTGGTGAGGAAGGTGCGGACAAGCTTATTTTACACGAAAATTGACCATTAGTGGGCCTTAACTGTGCAAAAAAAAAAAAGCAGAAAATAAAGATAGTATGCACAACTAGGCATGGTAACAAACAATCCTGTGAAGTTTCACTGAAATCCCCCATTGGTTTTGGTGATGAAAGGCGGACAATCTATTTTACTAAAAAATTGATCATTAATGGGCCATAATTGTGCAAAACAAAAATTAAGTGGAAAATCAAGAGAGTATTACAATATACTCTGGTGACAAACAATCCCGTGAACTTTCACCAAAAACTTGACCTCATAAAATAGTCGGCAATGCCACAGTAAAAAAACACGCATTACCATAGTCTGCTAGATTCTACCATCCCATTTTCCGAAAAAACTGTGATTAAACGTTTTGTTCTCACACAGCAAGCTAAATTTAAATTGTAACAACAAATTTTAATATCAACAAGAGCTGTCGGTAGGACAGCACGCTCGACTATTCTAAGTGCTTGATAGTAAAAGAGCCTTGATAATGTTAAATTTTTCAAGTTCACAAAAGGGCTAATTTTTTTTCATAAATTCATGTTATAGGCCTAAGAGAGAGTCTAATTATACAGTAATGTCACAAGGGTGTTTTATTGAGTATAATAATACTAATTACCTATGAATAAATAAATTTGACAGAAAAGGTACAAAGGCTTGTTATTAAGATGTTTTATCAAGTAAATCACTGCCTTATTAAATGCATAAAATTGTCCCAAAAAAGGCACAAACCCTTCAGAAGTTATTGAGATAACAGCTTACAAGCAAAACTTTACCATGAATTTCTAAGTTGAAAAAGGGGAGAAAAATCAGCCTAAATGCAAGATAGAATTATGGATCTTTGTCAGGGACCTACAATTATGACCCTAAATGCATATGTGAATTTTTAAATAAATATCTTTAATAGTTATTGAGATAAGTAAAACTTGCTAATATTTTAGGCAGAGTTATGCAATTTTGCAAACTGATGTACATTGTTACTATAAAAAAGTATTTTAAATTTCAATTGAATATCTCAAGCAATCATTGAGATATTTTACTTTACAAAAAAACTTTAACCAAAATTTCTAAGTTCCAAAGGGGCATAATTCTGTCAATATTGTAGGCAGAGTTATCCAACTTGTCAATCTGATGTACCTTGTCACTATAAATAAGTATTGTAAGTTTTAATTGAATATCTCAAGCAATAGTTGAGATATTTGACTTTACAAAAAACTTTAACCAAAATTTCTAAGTTAAAAAGGGGCATAATTCTGTCAATATTGTAGGCAGAGTTATCCAACTTGTCAATCTGATGTACCTTGTTACTATAAATAAGTATTGTAAGTTTCAATTGAATATCTCAAGTAATAATTGAGATATTTGACTTTACAAAAAACTTTAACCAACGCAGACGCCGAAGCGGAAGCTGACGCCGGGGCGACTACAATAGCTCTCATATTCTTCGAATAGTCGAGCTAATTAAACTGTTATTCTACAATTATTTCATTGTTTTTATGAATAAAAGTCTTGGTCATGGATGTATGACCATCATAAAGCTTAAGTGATAAATAAAACCTCTGGGCATTCTTTCAGATCAAGCTGGACACTTGAGTGCAACCACTGACCCCACTTAAGCTAGCTAAATAGCTTTCCCATATGAAAGGGCTATAAGGTCTTGTTGGGATTTGAACCATTGCAATAAGATGCAAATGATTCAAAGTTAGTGACCGCAACTGTTTGACCACAGAGGCCTTTTCTTAATTTCAGCCATTTCATGTAGTGGATAAATTTGTAACAATATTTTGCTGATAGCATTTAAAAGTTCTAAGCATAGAATACTTCATCAAAGATCTTAAGTTATAATGCTTAAGCTACTAGTATTAGGTTTGGAATGACTAAAAACTGTTTATACCTTATGCTCTGGGGAGAGCAAGGGCCGCCCCCGCACTGATGGTTTATTATCTTGTTGATTGTTGAAAAACAGTGGATACAATGCTGGTATAGATAACCTGAAAAACACAGTTGATCTATGTTGGATTTTATATTTAGAAAATATCAATTATGATTGTTTTGTTGCATAAAAATGCATCGTAGAGTTCAAATACGCAGAAATACAATCACAAAGGCCGAAAAACCTTAGTGATTAATTACAAAGCATTTGAACAATAAACAGTGCATTATTATACTTTATCACATACCTGTGCTGCTTTTGCGACTCAGTGAAAATAATAATGCACAGGCCATGTACATATTTTGATGTGTTATCATTCACGTTATACAATCATAGCGAAAAAAGACGCAGGGAATGTCAGTGTTACACTTTAAAGTGAATCAATTAAAAAGTTCTTATATTGGATATGTGATATAAAGAATATTATATTCGTGTAGCTTCATTACTAGAATTGTTGAACAAGTTAAAACCAGAATAAAATAACTTGTTCTCCAGAAAACATTCTTAAACGTTAGAAAATAATGTAATCGGATTGGAAAAGCCTATTCTACAGATAAAAGTAAACAACTCTTTGCACATTATATGAGCTTTCAGAGTTGAATGAACATATGGAATAAACTGCTGCTATGAACATGAACATAAACAGAGAGACAGTCAAACAGGGAAATCATATCGTAAGTATCAATGCTAGAGTTATGGGTTGTGGCTGTCAACCAACAATCATAAAGAAAGAGAAGTTGTTGAGACAGGCCCTTAATGAAAAACTTGAACAATGAATTTTCTATGGAGTTTGAGAAGGGGTATAATGCAGTCAGAAAAACATTTCCTGCAAGAGTTATATGTCTAGGAAATTATACGCAACTATTACCCTTAAACAAGTGTCAAGTTTCATGTAAATACCCATATGAAAATCCTTAGCAAGGACTCTGATTATTTATAACTAAGGTATGTTTTAGACATTTTACCATCTCTAACTGTCCAGCTGTCATCACTAAAACAGATGAGAAGAGCCTCTAACAACCTTGGAATATACATGTTCAGATCATCTTTGTTCACCTATAAATACAAATATACATTATGTAGGTAAATTTTTCAACATAACTTTAAAGTTTATTTTAAAAACAATTTTAATGTATCAATGATATTTTTTATCATATGTTTGTAGTTAATTTGAGTAGCAATTTCTGATATTCACCACGAATGTTAAATTATTTATTACCAGAACAGACCTTCATATATTTCGAGCTGGTTTAAATTGGTCAGATTGCACACATAAGCTGACTGGCAAAATATAACTTTGTTTACACTGTCAACTTGTGATCCAATTAAACTCTGTCACTCAAATTGTTATCAATTAACAGTGGATTTTACTTTTAACTATTGATGGAAACAAGTACTGATTTCAGTACTGTGAATACAAGGGAGGAAAATGTACCTTGATAATAAAGAAAACAACGTTGATTTCTGAGTCCATTTAATTACTTTAATCTAACATTATTGAAACAACTTTGCCTTACATATATATCAAGTAGACTATTCTCCCAACAGATCATGGCACTGGACAGTATGATAAAACAAGAACTGTCGGAGAACAGTAACGCTCGACTATTCGAAAAGTTGTCACAATGGTGTTTCATTGAGTATAAAAAAGCTTACCAATATGAATACATAAAATTGTCCGAAAAGGTACAAACCCTTCAGTAGTTATGGAGATACCAGCTTACAAGCAAAAATTTACCTAGAATTTCTAAGTCGAAAAAGGGGAATAATTATTCAAAAAAACAATCAGAGTTATGGGACTTGTGCCAATCATCTTAAATAATCACAGAGAACAAGTGTGTGAAGTTTCAATACATTCCCTTCAGTAGTTATGGAGATACCAGCTTACACACAAAAAAAAAACTATAACAAGAAACAAGAATTTCCTGAGTCGAAAAAGGGGCATAATTATGCGAAAAAGTAAATCAGAGTTATGGGACTTGTGCCAATCATCTTAAATAATCACAGACAACAAGAGTGTGAAGTTTCAATTCATTCCCTTCAGTAGTTATGGAGATACCAGCTTACAAGCAAAAACTTAACCAAGAATTTCTAAGTCAGAAAAGGGGCATAATTATGCAAAAAAGCAAACAGAGTTATGGGACGTGTGCCAATCATCTTAGATAATCACAGAGAACAAGTGTGTGAAGTTTCAATCCATTCCCTTCAGTAGTTATGGAGATACCAGCTTAAACGCAAAAACTTAACCAAGAATTTCTAAGTCGAAAAAGGGGCATTATGAGTTGTGTAAAAAAGCAATCAGAGTTATGGGACTTGTGACAATCATCTTAGATAATCACAGAGAACAAGTGTGTGAAGTTTCAATTCATTCCCTTCAATAGTTATGGAGATACCAAGTTACACGCAAAAACTTAACCAATAATTTCTAAGTCGAAAAAGGGACATAATTATGTAACAAAGCAAATTAGAGTTATGGGACTTGTGCCACCAAGGGTCCATAAGCTATATGGATAGCTTCCTCACAAGAAAAAATTCAAATGTTGTGATGGGATGCAAACCCATAGCAAGAGGGGCAAGTAGTATGTAGTCAACATCCTTAACCACTCAGCCACAGATGCCCCTAATTAGCGCAAAATAAAAATTTGTGTTTGACTTCATTTTTCAAAATGGCCTACATTAATTTTCCAGTCAATGCTGTTTCACCTTTTTTTTTATGTATGGGCCGAATAGTCATTACTGCAATAGGTCCATCTACCGTTATAACATGAACTCATTTTTTCTACAAACACTAACACTTGTTTCTGACACACACAATTTTAACTAATTCGTATTTTAAATGAACTTTGACCCCAATGTGTGACCTTGATATGGCAGCAGGGACCTGAATTTTGGGCCTCACAATGGTTTACATTTATGACAAGTTATATTGAATCCCTAAATGCATGTATAAGTTTTGCTCCAGACAAGCATCTTTCAATGACCTCTAAGTGTGACCATGACCTTTGACGTAGATACCTGGTTCATGTGTGTAACATGGGGTCTTATTATGGTTAAAATTTCAATGAAGTTTCATTAAAGTCCCTCTCTTTGTGAATGAGATATGCTCCAGACAAAATTGGATGTCACCCGCACTCCATCTCCCTGCCCACCAGGCATTCCTATATTATGTCCCATTTTTTAAATGGGCGCATAAAATTCAGTAATAGAGTCTGGTTAAACAGCAAGAAAGAGTAGATTGAGCGTGACTTACCACTTGTCTGATGTACCAGTTGTTTACCCTGCTCTCCCATCACTTGTTTCCATGTGTCCTGTGAATAAACACCTTCGGCTACGTAATATCTGTAACAAATACACATTTAAGATTAAATCACTTCAGACATTTCTACTGTCAAATGGTACCATTTTTGTTTCTTGTAGTGTAAAAAGTAAGTTTCAAAATATTATTCAATTATTATTTATTTACAACTTGTTGGTAACTGAGCATTTATGCATTTTCTTCTGAACATACAAAGAAACAAACATATAGTCATAAAACACCAATGGCCTATAAATCTGCTTGTAAGAAAGATGCTTTAAACAATTTCCTGAAATGGTACATTGTTATAAAATGTAGCCCTACTCTGTTTATAAAAATTTAAACATGATAAAAATGTGGTTATAAACATAGCAAATTCAGTCATATTATGTTAATTCATACACACCTTGTGAAGATTCATACATTTTTAAATTTCTTAATTTATTTTTAATCCTTTTAAACTTTGTTATCTCACCATAAAGTTTATAAACTTTATTGTGTCAATTTGAAGTCAAATGCTATAAGATACAGTTTTGTGACACTGGTATATATTAAAGTATCATACAAGTAATTGAACATGGACTTTCAATTTATTTTCACAGTTTATCTTAACAGAATACAAACAGAAATCACCGAATACCTTTTAAGACTCATCCTAACATAATGGGGAAAAACGGGTGCCTGGGACCGTAAACTCTGTGGAAACTTCCTGATTGACACAGACGACGCAAGTCTTACCTAGTTAAGAAAAAAAAATCAAACAAATCATTTCCATGCCAAATGAAGTGTAACCCTTTTCCTGATAGTTTGTCACAGGGACTTGCCCTCCTTGGAAATTGGAAATATCTAGCACACTATAAACACTTTTCCTGTCATGCAGTTATTTGACTGTAAGATTTTTATGTGGAACTTTTTCATTCCACTGTTTCATTTCTGTAAATATACCTAAAATGATCTACAGGTAACCTTACGTTCATGTTAAATTAAATTACAAATGTAAAATTTATATGTTCAATTATTTACATGGTATATAGTGAAAAAATTAACAAAGGGCCATAATTCTGTTAAATTTGGTCGCAACATAAATTCCTTCCTTTACTTCCACCTACACATTAAGGTTGTTCATCCCTGGAAGTTTAAGCAAAATCTGCCATCCGATTTAAGAGGAGTTGCGTTCACAAAATTTCTACATAGTATAATTATAATTTATAGTGAAAAAATCAACAAAGGGCCATAATATTAATTCTGTTAAATTTGGTCGCAGCGAAAATTCCTTCCTTTACTATCATCCCTGGAAGTTAAAGCAAGATCTGCAATCCGGTTTAAGAGGAGCTGCATTCACAAGATTTCGGGATGTAGGGACATACTCACAAAATGGTACTTTTGTGACTTTTCCTTTGTTCTTGTTTTGCCATTTTTAGTCACAAAAGGCTTAACAAGAGCACCGCTAGGCCGGGCATTATATGCCAAAAAGTACTTTAGCTGTAGCTTGATTAATGCTTGAATTATTGAGCGAAAACTGTTTCCAGTTTAAAGGTGATAGTAACCTTGATCTTTGACCTTGTGACCCCAAAATCAATAGGGGTCTTCTACCCAATATGGACAATCATCCTAAGAAGTTTGAATACTGTGGACCAAATGGAACTTAAGTTATGCTCCGGAAATCATTTTCAGTTTTACGGTAATAGTGACCTTGACCTTTGACTGTGTGACCCCAAAATCAATAGGGGTCTTCTACCCAATATGGATATATCATCCTATAAAGTTTGAAAACTATGGGCCAAATGGAACTTAGGTTATGCTCCGGAAACCATTTTTAGTATTAAGCTTATAGTGACCTTGACCTTTGACCTTGTGAACCCCAAAATCAATAGGGGTCTTCTACCCAATATGGACAATCATCCTATGAAGTTTGAATACAGTGGGCCAAATGGAACTTAAGTTATGCTCCGGAAACCATTTTCAGTATTTAGCTAACAATGACCTTGACCTTTGACCTTGTCACCCCAAAATCAATAACGGTATTCTACCCAATATGGACAATCATCCTGTGAAGTTTGAAAACTACGGGCCAAATGGAACTTAAGTTATGCTCCGGAAACCATTTTCAGTTTTACGGTAATAGTGACCTTGACCTTTGACCTTGTGACTCCAAAATCTATAGGGGTCTTCTACCCAATATGGGCAATCATCCTATGAAGTATGAAAACTGTGGGCCAAATGGAACTTAAGTTATGCTCCGGAAACAATTTTCAGTTTTACGGTAATAGTAACCTTGACTTTTGACCTTGTGACCCCAAAATCAATAGGGGTCTTCTACCCAATATGGGCAATCATCCTATGAAGTTTGAATACTGTGGGCCAAATGGAACTTAAGTTATGCTCCGGAAACCAAATTGCTAACAGACGGACGGACGCACGGATGTTCTCACAGGAGAGTAATTATGTGGCTACTCTATTGTTCTCTCTATTGTTCTTTTTAGCCACACAAAAGAAAATAGCCACATAAAAGCATTACGGAATGAATGACATCAAAGAGAAAGAACAGTTACCTATTGTCCCTATAGCCACATAATTACTCTTCTGTGAGTGCGGACAGACGGAAGGACGGACGGACACCAGGGGGTATAACCTAATATGTCCGAAATTCTTTTGGGCATATAAAAAAAGACACACAAGTAAAAACGGAATAAATAGGATCAAAGAGAATTTACTGTTGTCCATTGTTCTCCAAGTCACACAAGTACCTCTGGGTTCGTACGGACAGACGGACAAGTGCAACGCTATATGCTCCCCACTTTGTGGGGGCATAAAAAACACCAAACAATTGTTTTACAAGTAAAATGGTTTCCTGCGGGGAACATTTTTAATGATATAAGATATTTCATTTAACTATTTTCAACATTGTAGTGTTATGGGGGACAACATATAGTCGATCAATATAAAAGAAGGTCTTTGGAAACTGGTGACCGTTGATGACCGGAGAAGGTCGAACATTAAACAATTATTTCTTTTTAAGAATTAAATAGGCCTACCATTTGATGAATAATTCCAAGCAAAAAAAATAAAGTAAACACACAAGTTTACGCAGAAAATATCTCTATTTATTATGGCAGATGCCACTACGATCGAATATTCTAATACTGTAGATTTTCAGTATAAACAATTTATTGTCTGTAAAATTTGAGATACATATTAAAGAAACATTGATAATTTTCAAACACATCATTCAAGTTTTTCAACCTTAAACGGTAAAATATTTATAGACAAGGAACATCGCAATGCGATGCAACCAGGTTTTCAGCAAAATATTTCACAGAAGCTTTGTCATGAAGGGGCATTTGTTTTTAATTGAACTTTTAGGAGGAATTATGGCTTTTTTAATATTCCTCAAACAAAAATGATTGAGAAATTTTATGTTGTCTATTCGCCTTTTTTCCCAAATGTTTTAGAAAGGTAAACAGTACTTTATTTTTGCTTAATTTTTGCATTTTTGCGTCTCTTGTCATTTTCTTTTGTCAACAATATTGGCGTGTGGTGTTTTGCGCGATATCAAGAAAAGTATGTTCACAAAATTTTAAAAAAATACTTGAATGATGTCTTGGGAAGAAACATGGGAATTTAGTGAGTGCCAGGACACTTGATGACAAAGCTTCTGTGAAAGTTTGGTCAAAATCCATTGAGAAATGTAGGAGAAGTTGCGCACTGTAGAAATGTTCACTATATATTCTGTATAAGGAAAAAATATACAAAAGGGCCATAATTCGGTTCAAATATTATCCAATCACAAAACCCGGACAATATGTGCCAGGCACTTGATAAACAAAGCTTCTAAGAAAAGTTTGCGTCAAATCCAATGAGAAATGTAGGAGGAGTTGCGCACAGAAGAAATTGTTCACTATATATTCCTATATAAAGGAAAAGAACAAAGGGCCATAATTAGGTCAAAAATATACCCAAAAAAACAATTGCAAAACCCTGGCAATATGTGTCAGGGCACTTGATGACAAAGCTTCTGAGAAAGTTTGGTCAAAAATTTGTTGAGAAATGTAGGAGGAGTTGCGCACAGAAGAAATTGTTCACTATATATTTTAATATAAGGAAAAAAAACAAAGGGCCATAATTAGGTCAAATATTAAACTAATCGCAAAACCCCGACAATATACGCCAGGGCACTTGATGACAAAGCTTCTGTGAAAGTTTGGTCAAAATCCGTTGAGAAATGTAGGAGGAGTTGCGCACAGAAGAAATTGTTTACGCCCGCCCGCCCGTCCGCCCGCCCGCCGACATACCTCAATCTAATAACCAGTTTTTTCCTTCGGAAAACCTGGTTAAAAATTAGAAATATCACGTAATAGTTTTTTTGTTCTAACTAGATGTAATTCTGCCTAATTCCTTAGAGGTAAATCCGTCACGTACCGGCAAACAGTATTTAGCCAGGTTTTCGAAAGGGTCAATTAACCAATCATGTAAGGTTTACAGATCACGTGCTCCTCCATGTACCGAAAACAGGTCACGTGCTCCTCCATGCCTCAAAAGTTAAACGCGTACCAATACCCTGCAGTCTCCAGACCGCAGGGAATAAAAGACCAATACACTGATAAACACCTTCAGAACTAGCAGACGACAGGCTATTCTTATCAGTAGTATTTCGAGTAAAGATAATGGGTTGTGTATCTCACTGTATAAATGGTATGTAAAATGGTCTGACATATGGTAGGTTTAACAGTTTATTTAGATACTTTGGAGTCAAAAGATATGTTGAAGTTTATACTGTGATGAAGCTAAGATGCAA